TTATTATTATTATTATTATTATTATTATTATTATTATTATTATTATTATTATTATTATTATTATTATTATTATTATTATTATTATTATTATTAATCTAATTATTATGATCTATCGGATAAATTAAATTAATTGTTTTACTTTATTTATGATGATTACAATTTAGTTGATGGGTTTAAAGCTGTATTGTTTATTACATTATTTTGAATTTAAGGTCCTAAATTTTTTGCATAGTTAAACTGTTATTATTTATTATTCTAATTAAATTCAGAATTATTGTTATTTTTAAGTTGATTCTAGAATTGAAAATCTTATGATTATGGTTGACTTGCTGTTCTATTCTAAATTGTTCCATTTTATTGTATATTTTACTATGCAATCTGAGTATCTCTATCATTAGCAAATGGTTAAGCAAAATTTCTGGAATTATTAATTTCTCTCTAAACTCCAGGAGTTGTAACTCTACCATTGGCAAATGATTAAGCTTAATTTTTGGAATTATTAATTTCTCTATAAACTCCAGTATTTGTAACTCTACCAATAGCACCGTATTAAGGTTATTATTACTGTAAATTATTATTTAGATTAAATATTTATTTAGGTTATTGTTAAGATATCTATTATTACTAATTATTTTTTGAATCTACATCTTAATATTAATTTGTAATATTAGAATTTTGGGGAAAAATATTTTATGAAACTCTGAAAGCGTTATTTGGTTAAGGATTTTACTTAACTGCTTAAACTTAATCTGTTTCATTAGAAATCTAATCTTCATTTGCTAATCTAGTATTATTGTTTATTTAAGGCTATTAATTTCTTAATTGGGGTGATAGAAATCCTTATTTTATATTTATATTTGCAGTTTATTGCATAAATCTACTTTCTCTTTGGATAGGTTGAGGATTAGGTTAATCGTTTTTATTAGAAGGAAACATATTTTTTTGAAGTTAATTTACTGCTAGCATCGGATTATCTAAACTATGTTTTTCTAATAATATTTGAGGTTTAGGCAAATCATTTTTAATTTGTTAACCTTATTAGATTTTATTTTAATCATTTTGAAAGTACGTGAATTTTGATGGTTATGGAATATTACACTATAGAGTTACGATATTGGTAGATTATTAACTAGGTTATTAAACAATTTGTCTGGGCTATGGTATTGATGATTTTTATTTAATTTGGGATTAAGCTCTTAAATCTGAAATAGTTTAATTAATATTATATCGTTTCTTAAGATCAATTTGCATCATATTTAAGAGAAGAGTTTAATATTTGCGTTCAATTTTTAAATTATTCTAAATGATTTTATCAATATCTTTTTAAGTTATTCTTGAAATTTTATTACAAACTTCATATTCAGTAGATCCTAAATAAAATAATAAAATACCATTAAACATTGGTACTCCAGTTAATAATTCATAAATCAATGCTCCAAAAGCCCAAATATCAACTGCTTATGTATATTATTCTGATGTTTTATTTATTTATTCTGGAGCAAGATAATAAGCAGTCCCAACTTTTTAAGTTTTTAACACATCAATCCCTTTAATAGTTCCAAAATCACAAATTTTATATAAATCTTATGTATTACCTTAATCATCTTTTACTTAGAATACTAATACATTTTCAGGTTTCATATCTCTATGAGCATAACCCATTTCATGAATTTCTTTTAATCCATTAGCTATTTCTTTCATTATAAATCTTATATCATCATGCTTTATTGTACCTTAACGTTGTATTCTATCATACAAACTCTCTTTACAGTATTCCATAACAACATAATAATATTTACCTATTTTTTCTATATGAAGGGTATTTATTAAATTTTTATATTTTTTACCTTTCATTTTTAGTAACATCATTAATTCAGCTTCATTTATACTTTCTTATATCTTAATCGCAACTATTTAGTTTGTTTATAGATTTTATCCTTTGACAACCTATCCATAAGAACCTTAACCAAGTGTTTCTGTGATTTTATATTGATTGTTTTCAATCATAATTTGTTAATCTGTATTTCTCATCATTTTCTATTAAATATAATATATAATATATAATTTTTATTAAGATCTTCTCTTTTTTATAAAATTCAAATACTTTTTCAATAGGTGTAAACAGATTTGAATGTTTGCACTTGTTGAATAAAGGAATAATTTTTGTCATATCTTCCTTAGGGTTTTAGAATTTTTGGTCGATAAAACAATAAGATAATAATAATAATTTAAAAGGAAAATCTAAAAGTGATGAGGAATAGATTTAATTTGCAATAAGCATTTATCAATAAAGGAAACTTTGATTTAATAAAACAAATAATTTATCTTTTCTACCAAAATTGTTTTTAAGGAAATGAATTTCATCTTGATTTTGAATTTTAAGCTTTTCTTAATTATTTTTATTCATTTTTTTTTATTGCTTTTGCTATTATTCTACTCATCTAACATTAATAGTAGAATTACATATCTCAGCTTCCTCACAAGCTTTATTATCAGCATTGGAATTCTAAAATATCAATAATTTTATTCATACCAATTTAATATACTTAATTGAATTTCCTTTAATCTTTTAGAGCATGAAATGAATTTCCATCCTGATAAATATTATGAGAGAAAAATTTACTTTTGATGTATGTATCTCCAGCTTTAACTTCATATACCTATTCTTATCGTTAACAATTAACTTAATGGGAACTAGAATAATGATGTATAGTTCTTACAAAATTTATCATCAAACAAAGTGTATCTATTAAATTATACAATAACACAACTTACTATCTATTAAATTTTTTAGTAAAGAAAATTTTCCTTTTAAATCATTAAAAAACTGCAAAAAAAAAATTTAGTAAATAATATTAAAACACTATTTCTGATTTTTACTATTTTAGTCATATTTCTGTTTCACTTTCCTTTTCTAATTTATAAAGTCTGAATTTATCAATAGAGCTGTAATTTTTTTTATATAATTATTTTTCCTAATTCATTCAATTTTTTATTTTAAAGACTTTTCCCCTAGTTTGAATTATTTTATTCAGAATTAATTTTAAAATAACTATTTAATTTAAACTGGTGTTTCTTCTTAATCCATTTTTGAAAAAGAATTATATAATTGATGATTTCTAATTATTTATTTGGGTTATTAGAAGATTTATATAATAAGTATTTTAAATAAATGGATCTTGATGTACATTTTTTGTTATTCTTTATTTTCTTAAGATAATTATGTAAATTGCCTTAATTATCCCTTAATATCATTTCCCATAGTCTTTTAATTTGAATGAAACAGTATCACTAAAGAACAAATTAAAGAAATAGAATTGAAAATTTACATAAATTAAGAAAATATTTAGATTAAAAATTTATTTATCTTCTTTATGGACATTCAAAATATAATTTATTTGATTTAAATAGAAATTTGAGTTAATGATTTATTTATAAAAAGAGAATGTATATTTATTGTAAATTAATAAATAAGTAATGATTTTGATTTTTTTTATTGCATAATTAAAAAATATTCATAAAATTTTATTTCTAATATCTTCAAGTTTTTTAATAATTTCA